TTGCATGGAAAGTACTTTACCAGCTGAACTGTCACCCCCAGCCCCAGACATACTTTTTTTCATACACACTTATTTTAAATCATATTTTTATTTTGTCTTGAGAAATGTCATGTGTATATACAATGTATCTTGGTATCTAAAGTTTCCCTGTGCTCCCCCAAAACATCTTCCTCCCAACTTCATTTTTTTATAACCCATTGAGTCCAATTAGTGCTAGCCATATTTTCATGGGTGTGGGTCCATCCACTGGGGCATGGGTAACCTATATTTCCAAAGAAAAGTGACTCCCCCCACCATCTACAATGCCAGTAGTTCCTTAGCTAGGCATAGGGCCTCAGGATCCCCTCCCCCATCTATGCTGAAATTTTAACTGGCTTGATCTTGTGTAGGTGACCACAGCTTCTGTGAGTTCGTGTATCCAAATACCATGTAATGTCCAAAAGACCACATTTTACCACACTCCTCATCCTCTGGCACTTACATTCTTTCTGTCCCCTCCTCCATGGTGTTCCCTGAGCCTGGGTGGGAAGTGGGGGTGTGGGTTGCTATAGATCTTGTCTATTGCTAAGTACACTCATATCTAGGCATACTTTTTTGCATAAGAAATTCTCAACCTGGTTTTGCCTGTCTCATTACTGTTTCTAAATGTGATTTTTGAAGAAAGAATGAAATGGCCATGGGCTTCCTCTTCTACGCAGAGGTGCTAGCTTGAACAAGAAAGGGCAGAGTCCCTAAAAGAAGCTTGCCTAGGTTCATATAATAAATCCCTGGTAGAAGAGAATCTATAATAAGCAGAATTGCTGTCTGTGTCCTTTCTTATTGATCCTTCCAGGCCTAACAGATGAAGGCTTAACCTTCACTATAATCGCTGCCTCCTTTGAGTCCATGGAGAATGACAGTGTAAATAAACTTGGTTACATAAAAAGGTATAGAAGATAACTTAGTACCTTTCTTCGGGGCATTTTTGTATGAGTCACCAAATTGTCCCTCTAACCATTTCTAAAATGGTAAACAGCCACAGGGTATTTATACCTTTCATCTCCCTGATGCAGTCTCCCCATTCCTACCAAAGATGGTACTGATATGGTCACCATCCTTACCCTGTGTTCAGTTCCCAGTCCTGACTTCAGTTTCCATGCTGATGAGTACCTAGAAGTCTACGTTTCTGCTTCTGAACACCCTAACCACTTCTGGATCCAAATCATTGGCTCCCGCAGCCTCCAATTGGATAAACTTGTCAGTGAGATGACCCAGCACTATGAGAATAGTCTGGTGAGTTGCTATATGGAGAAGGCTGGGCTGGGGCTTATCTTTTTCATTGAAAATGTTCCTTTCTTTCTGTTATTCTCTATTAGCTATCACTTCATAATAACCCCCTCATGCCCATCTCCACATATAGCCTGAAGACTTGACTGTGCATGTAGGAGACATTGTAGCAGCACCTTTATCTACAAATGGTTCCTGGTATCGAGCCCGGATTCTCGGTACCTTGGAAAATGGGAACTTGGACCTCTACTTTGTTGACTTTGGAGATAATGGAGATTGCCCACTGAAGGATCTCAGGGCTCTCAGGTAAGTGCAGAAGCCAGTGTGGAGTCTGCTGGACTAATCCCAGCTGTTGGCTCACTTCTGCTGATAAAGTGGTGAGCTATTGGCAAATATCATCAAGGAGATTTAGAAGGGAACGTATATACCTGGCATTCTAATTTTGATTTCTTTAATTTTAGGAGTGACTTCCTAAGTCTTCCATTTCAAGCAATAGAATGCAGTCTAGCACGGATTGCCCCCTCAGGTAACCTAGTCATGCCACCTATTGACTTTACCTCCAAACAGAGTAACTTTCATAGAGCATGTAAGAAGAATTCTCACATTCCCAAGCTTTTTACTTCTGGAGACACAGGTGCATTTTCCTTATCAGCACTAGAAAGCAAGACAGAAACTTACTTGGCAGTCAGATCTAAACTCACCAGGTCAGCAGTCAGATCTAAACTCACCAGGTCAGAATATAAGTACATTCCTGGAATCCATCGTGGACAGGATACATCCCTACTCTTACCTTACCAGCACTGACCTACTCTCATCAGCTCTGAGGCTCAGCCCCTTCTTCCCCCTTATGATCTTCTTCCAGGTGAACAGTGGGAAGAGGAAGCTCTAGATGAGTTTGACAGACTCACTCACTGTGCTGACTGGAAGCCCCTGGTGGCCAAGATCTCTAGCTACGTCCAGACTGGAATCTCAACTTGGCCAAAAATCTATTTATATGATACCAGCAATGGGAAGGTAAGAGTGAGGTTCATACATTGCTTGCTGCATCATCTATATTTTCTTTCCCAGAAACTTTTGTTTTGTTTTTTCGAGACAGGGTTTCTCTGTGTAGTTTTGGTGCCTGTCCTGGATCTCGCTCTGTAGACCAGGCTGGTCACAGAGATCCATCTGGCTCTGCCTCCCAAGTGCTGGGATTAAAGGCGTGTGCCACCATCTGGCCCCAGAAACTTTTATCTGATATCACTTCTACTCTGAAAGATCTGTTGACCATCTCACCTCAGTTTGGTTGCAAATTTGCTCTCCCTTACAACAGAACATCATTGCTTTCTCATTATTCCTTTTCAGAAACTTGATATTGGGTTAGAATTAGTTCGTAAAGGATATGCAGTCCAACTTCCTGAAGACATTGAAGAAAACAGAACTGTCCCAGATATGTTGAAGGACATGGTGAGTTACTAGTCATTTCCAGAAAAATCTAGTGCCTGTAGGCAAATCAAATGTCTAGTCATAATACTTTTATCAATTTTATTTTTTAAGATTTTAATGTTTTTTTTTCATATGTATGTGTGTTTTAACTATATGTGTATCTTTATACCACATGCATATAGTGCCTGAGGAAGCCAGGAGAGGGTGTTGGTGCCCCTGGAACTGGAATTAAAGACAATTGTGAGCTGCCATGTGGGAAGAGCAGTCAGTGGTCTTAACCTCTGTGCCATCTCTATAACCCCTAACAGTTATTTTTTTAATCCTATGTATGCGTGTGTATCTTTCTAGTGTATGCCAGATATGTAAGTGCCCAAGAAGGAAAGAGGCATTGGGTCTCCTGAAGATGAAGTAATAAGAGGTTGTGAGTCATGTAATGTGGGTGCTGGGAATTCCACTTGGGCCCTCCAGAAAAGTAATGTGTGCTCTAACCGCTGAGTCATCTCTAGCCCCGTTTCACCAACTTTAATGAAATAAAGCTTAGGCCATCATGAGAACCTTTAGATTACTTCATTTTCCAGACTGATTAAAAATGTGATCAAAGACATTGTGTCTTTCTTAGTAGTCAGATTGAGCAACTGCCTTAACCAAACCTGTGATCAAAATGACAGGCTTCTCCCTTCGCACCAGTCAAGATACTTTCCTTTTCTCTTCCATGCCTAAGGACACAGAAACAGATGCTTCTCTTGCCAGCATACTCACTGAGACCAAAAAAAGCCCTGAAGAGATACCACATACCCTGTCCTGCCTCAGTTTATCAGGTACAAACAGCAATACTTTCATACAGCATCTGTGAAAGTTAACTTTTCTTAGTCTGTCCAGATTAGAGACGTTAGTTAAAGCTTGGTTCTAGGACTGGGGAATGTGACTTGGTTGGTAGAGTACTTAACTAACATGCACAAAGCCCTGGATTAGATCCCTCTGACTTCATAAAACTGTGTGGAGACACACGTGCCTACAATTCAAGCATTGGTAAGTGGAAGAGGAGCATCACAAGGTCAGGGTCAATAGAGAGTTTGAGGCCAGCCTACACTGCATACAATCCTGTCTAAAAACAAAAACCACTTGGCTCTTAGGACATTGAGCACCAACTGCCCGTTTTTCTACTGAGCTTCACTGGCAATGCCTGCTGGAATAAAGCAATCTCATGTTCTTGTTTCTGCTCACTAGAAGCTGCCTCTATGTCTGGTGATGATAACCTTGAAGACGACTTATTCTGAAGTCTGAACTGCAGCTGCTGGACCAGCCGTCTGCTTTGCTGTGAGTGGTGCTGTCATCTATCTGTAGCAACCAGAAAGTAACGAGTGTGACAAGGGCCTTTATTCCCTCTTCCCTACGCTCTTACCTTTGTGTGTTTCTCTACAGCATCTTTGGTGCAGCGTAACTTGCTCTGAGAGCCCTTTTAAGTTTTTTATCTCTATGTCTTTGGCAGGATTTGGTGCCAGAAGAGAGGAGTCTGTGATGAGAGATCCGTGAAGCCATTTATTTCACATGGTGTGGCTTGCTGTGGATCAAATCCATTTTCTGTTCCATTGAACATACCAGAAGGTGACTGATGGAGACAAATGGATTTCTCCACTGCCCTCTTCTGGTTCCTCCCCCATCTTTCCATGTTTGAATGCTGCTGTGTACTTCCCAGCCTCTTCACACCAGGTTAAGTCTCCTCTTCCAGTAATAATTTGCATTACTGCTGGACTGCATTCTTTTTGAGGCTGGGGAACAGCCAGGGTTTGGGCATTGGAAGTGATGATTCTGCAGATTTCTGACTCACCTTATCAGGTGACTGTAGTTATAGGAAGTATTTGGTGGACTCAGAAGACTGCAGTTGTCAGGAGACAAAGGGAAAAATTGGCATAAATATATGGGGAGGAGAGTACTACCTCTCACCCTTAATTGTTGAGGTTATTGAAGATAGTTTTTTTAAAACAGTCCTTCAAGCTATTTCTTTGTAAACTTTACTTAAAATACAAGTAGAAGAAAGGGAGAGGCAACTTAGGAAATGTTGTAAACTTCTAGCATGTGTCTATGTATACACACACCTAAGGAGAGAAAAAGAATGTGTAGTTTTGCTTAAATAATTTGGGGGATTGTTTGCTGAATAAAGTTCTCTAGAAAATTATCTAAAACCATATACTCGTCACAACTTGGAAGTAGGTCTATGGGTAAAGTCTCTTCTGAGTAAATCTTGGTAGTACTTGCCAGGTGCCTCACATACAGAGGCACGTCTTGAAAGATGTGTTCTTCCCATGCAAACATTCATAGTCTTCCCTTAAGGTTACTTCAGAAGTCAGCCACTCCCTCAGCACCATACCAGTTTCAGCTATGCACACAAAACCCACCTACACTGTAAGAGAAGGCCTGGATTAGGATTCTAGAAACCTGGGTTCTAGGAATAGGTCTTCACTGTAAACTTACTGAAAGACTTTAGGTGCCCTGTTTCCTTCTAGCATCTCTTCATTGCTGATATTGTAAGACTCCACTGAGAATTGTGACTACTTAAAATTAAATATGAATGCACAGTGATATAACAAATGAACATTAGGAAACAAGGTGAGGTAAACTGGAAAACCTAAAAGGAACACATGGGTCTTTTTAAACTCTAGGGTTAGTAGCCATGCCTGGTAGCCCAGGCCTATAAACCAGCTACTTGGAGACCAAGGCAGGAAAGTGAAAGTTAAAGGCATTGCCTGAGCAACTTAGTAAGATGGCTGTCTCAAAAAGTGAGAGGAGGCAGGGTTGTAGCTCAGTGATATAGCACTTCTTTGTCATTTGCCATGTCCTGAGTTCAAATTCTTGGACTCAATTAGCAGAAAGACATCAAGGAAGGAGCAGTTTGAGCATATCTTAGAGTCTTGGAGGACCCTAGACAGGCTGTTAATGTTTCAGGTTCCAGCTGTGGTGAATCACTGACGTGTGCTGTCTGGCATTGGAGTTACAACAGGCTCTGGAGCCATTCAGTCCTAGTTTCTCAGTGCTGCTTTCCCTCAGGGATGGAGGTCACAGGACCTGCAGTGCATGATATAAAAGCTCATTAGAACCAATTGTGTGGGGCTGGAGAGATGCTCAGAGGTTAACACTGGCTGCTCTCACAGAAAACCCAGGTCCAGCTGCCAGCATCCACACGGTGGCTCACAACCATCTTGTAAGTCCAGTCCCAAGGGATCTAGTAATCTAACCTCTGTGGGCACCAGGCGTGCACATTGTGTGTGTGTGTGTGTGTGTGTGTGTATGTATGTATATATATATACATACATATATAATGTATATACACACATAGGCAAAACATTCATACACATAAATCTAAAAATAAAAGAAAAATTAAACCCAATTATGGCACACACCTCTTCTCAGCACTTGGGAGGTAGAAGTGGCAAGATCAATGTGAAGCCCTTCTCTACTATATAGCATGTTTGAGGCCAGCCTGGCTACATGAGACCCTGTCTCAAAAAAAAAATCCCTATTCTTTTAATATACCCATTACCATTTTTCCAGTACACCCCAGTACACACCCTGTCTGGAATGTCTCTTCTGTTATCTGCTGTAACACTATCCCTTAGGATGTATATGCTTTCTCTGGTTTTCTCCACATCAAAAGAGAAGGAATTAGTACTCATTTCTAGTTTGAATTGAAATATATAAATAAATCTTAGCAAGGCTTAGTCCTTCTGAACTTTCTAGTTGACTGATCATTGATCTTGGCAGGTGCTTACTAAATGGGAATGGAAAAATGATTTAGGGATTAGGAGAAGGCAAAGGAGCCCTCCCATGTCTGACTCAGGTCACTCTGATCTTTTCAGTCATATCCTTCAGTGGATTTATCTCTATGAGGTTCATATTCCAGTCCAACATTCCCTCCCCTCAAGAAATAGTGAACACTTTGATTGCACTATCTTTATTTCCTAGGATGGAAGTGTCTTAAGTCACATCCTGGGCCCCAGAGTCCCGTGTGTTGAGGTTTCTGGCCCCTCACAGAGATGGAACAAACATGTTCAGGGAGGCTCACTGGCCAGGCCGGCCAAGGTCCCTTTCAAGGGGATACACCATGAAGATGACATTGTCCCAGGGAGGGAGAGCAGGATGATCTGGTCTGACCACCTCAAAGCCCATGTAGCTAAAGGCTCGCAGCAGGGCACCTGTAGAGGAACAGAACAAATTACTAGAACATCCACTGAAGCTCAGCCCACGTAAGTCCTCATAGATTTGTTTTCTTCAGGGAGTGACTCTGGAAAGCAGTGTAGTGCAGGCTTAGGGTGTGCTTTGGAGTGATAGAGACACAGGCCTAACCTGCCTTTAGTATTCACTTTGACATTTGAGTTAACCTTTCAGATCTCCAGTTCACTTGGTTGTAAATTGGGAATGAGAACCTTCTTCACAAATTTTAAATGTGATTATTCAAGTGCTTATTGCAATGATGGCATTCTAAGCTCTAAAATAGTATCTACTATGGCTGGCAATTGACCAGCATCTATTTTTTTTGGCTTTGATTTTGTTTTGAGATCTCACTATGTAACTAATCTGACCCTGAGTGCAGAATTCTCCTGCCCTAGATTTCCAAATGCTAGAATCACAGGCTTGTACCATCATGCCCAGTTCATCTTGTCTTTTTTTTTTTTTTTTTTTTTTTTGGTTTTTCGAGACAGGGTTTCTCTGTGTAGCTTTGCGCCTTTCCTGGAACTCACTTGGTAGTCCAGGCTGGCCTCAAACTCACAGAGATCCGCCTGGCTCTGCCTCCCGAGTGCTGGGATTAAAGGCGTGCGCCACCACCGCCCGGCGAAACTTTTTTTTTTTTTTCGAGACAGGGTTTCTCTGTGTAGCTTTGCGCCTTTCCTGGAACTCACTTGGTAGCCCAGGCTGGCCTCGAACTCACAGAGATCCGCCGGCCTCTGCCTCCCAAGTGCTGGGATTAAAGGCGTGCGCCACCACCGCCCTCATCTTGTCTTATATCCAACAAACTATAATCTCTCTGAAAGATGAGCAATAACATTGCATCTGGTTAAATATGTTCCTGTCCTCCTGGCCTTTTATACATGTCTGTTCCTGCTGTACAGACTTGATACATTTGCTTGACGACCTTTGTCAGTCTACCACATTCCTTAAGTGGATTCTGTGTAATCTCTCCAGTGCTCCCAGCCTTGTGCCTGACACCACCTGCAGGGGCTCCTTGTTAGTCCACTTGTCATGGATCAGACAGAATGCTGTGTGCCTTAATTTCCTTTGCAATAGAAGTGGGACAGGGGCTGCTGAAATGCCAGGGAGAAGGGACTTATCCAGTCCTAAGAACCTAAACTCACCTCTGTCCTTCCGGTCTTTTTGGAAGTTCACAAACACAGAGTCCACATTGGTCTTCTCCTCCACATACTCCAGTGTTGCTGTCAAACTAGAGGCCAGAGAGAACGTTAATGCTCAGCTAACTTGGACTCTAGAAAGTCAGAGCAGGAGAAATACTGAGTGTTTGCTCTCGACCTACCGAAACTGGAAAATTGAAAGTTGCTAAAGGAGTTTGGGTGGCTTTTCTCTAAAGCCAAGGATTCCACCTAAGTGAGGTGTATGTCACAGAAGGGGTCATGGAGGAAAGGACTGCTGAGCAACAAAGTATTCAACTATTTGGATCCTCACTTTGGTGTTCCTGAGTCTGAGTCCAGCAACTGTCCCTCAACCTAAAAGTATTCTCTGAACCCCAGGATCTTATCTGTATGCTACTAGTGTGCTGTGTCTGATCCAGCTCCTAAGTCACTGTGACATGATAAACAGTGGAACACCCCATCTCTGCCCCACACCCATCCAGCTCCTCACCTTTCTCGGTTGCCTTGATCCAAGGTCTGATATGGGATATCCAGGAAGAGTCGGTGGTCACACAGAAGGCCGTGCCAATGAGCAGAGGAATGGGGGGTGAGACGGTAGCGGAAGTCTAACTGAACTGGATCTTGGTGAAGCAGGGGGTCAGTTGTTAGCACTGTCAGGTTCCCAGCCTGGAAAATACAATCGAAGTAATAATCTATGCTCATTGAAGTCTTCGTAGAACCAAGGAGAGGCAGATGAGGGAAGCTGGGAAAAGTCAGAATCTTAAGAGATGGGACTGTATTCCTTAGTCCTAGGACTAGCTATCCGATACGGAGTTCTACTTGATGTCACATACCTAGGATTACTTTCTAGTGCTGGAAAGCTCAGGGTGTCATCTTGCTCATGCTATATCCCCAGCCCTGCTTTTACTTTTTTTGTGGGGCTGGGGAATAAGGTCTTGCTTAGTTACTGAGGCCAGCTTTGTATTCACTCTGTATCCTAGGCAACCCTTTGAAGAAACTGGGATTACAGGCCTTTTACCAGCAGGCACATCACTAAACTACTTTATGTCCCCAAGTCCCACTACAATCTGCTATACCTTTGTTCCTACTTCTTTCCCAACCTGCTGTTTGCTACCAGCTATATGGCCTTTAGATCTCTGGGCCAGATTCCATCTAGAAAGCAAGTAGGTTTTACACATGAGCTCAGGGCTCTACCTACCTCTAGTTTTTATGGTTATCAATGTTCCCCTCTTGACAGAGTCATTACAGCCATCAGAGAGCTGCCCTGTCACATCACCAGCTCGTAGTCTGCTACTTACTGAGTACAGTTCTTTAAGCTGGCCGTGGTCTTTTTCCTGCTCAGTGCTTCTGCCCACCTGGAGGCCTCCTAGGGACTCAGGAGCACTGGAGGCAGCACGGGACGCAGCACGGGAGGCAGCAGCGTTGGGGCCGGAGTGTCAGGTCCTCCTGTTCTTTATACGTGATGCTGGTTTGGGAAGGAGAGAGCCACATTAGTTTGCCTCAGAGCATGGGGTGAAGAAGTCAGCTGTGACGGGAGCTTCCTGACTTCAGCTACACGGGACCAGTCTTCAACACTGTTTCCTGTAGCCTGTGGACTAGCCTATTTTCCAGGCCAACCAAACAGAAAAGTTATACAAATCCATGCCAGGCTTCTACCCTGCCACTTAGGAAATTCTTCCAAATTGTTTTATTTTCCTTATACTTTATGTAAACCACAGTTAAAGATGAAAACAAGTACCTTTTGTAACAACAAGGCAGCATCTTCTCCCGGAGGGTGATCCGGTATTTGTAACAGTAGAGGTAATAGGCGTATGGTGACCAGATGGGGTAGAGGTAGTTCCGTGTTTTTCCCCTCTTGATATAAGAAAGGGAGTAGAGAGAGGGGCGGGACCTGTTACAAGGCAGTTTCTCTGTTCAGTGCCTCCCTGCGGCAAAGTGAGCTTCAGAGGATGAGTGGCAGAATTTCAGGCAACCTTGTCATTGTGACCTGACAGGCACTATGACATAGACAAGAGGTCAGTGCTTATGTCACTTCAGTTTAACCCCCTCCTGTCCCATCAACCAAGGCTCATGTTTAACTATATACACTTTACAATTGTATTGATAGTTTCAAATGCTTTAAAACTATGTCCTGGTCGGGCAGTGGTGGTGCACATCAGGCAGATCTCTGTGAGTTGGAGGCCAGCCTGGTCTACAGAGCAAGATTCAGGACAGGCACCAAAACTACACAGAGAAACCCTGTCTCAGGAAAAAAAAAAAAACCAAAAACCAAAAAACCCCACAAAACTTACGTCCTGGTTGACAAACAGGCCTGCCTGAGTTCTTGTACCCACCACCCTGGCCCTCCCTCTGGAACACTTCTAAATCCAGCAACTACAGAGTTGGTGTCTGATGCCACAGTAAGCTTCCAAGACCCTGCTCCAACACTTGGCCTGATTAGTAGCTGTTTTGCAATTCTTTATTTTTACTATCTTCCCTCTCCATAGCACAGAAGTACTACAAATTACAGAATTTTCTCTGTTGTCTTTATAGGGTAGTAATCCCAAATTTAAACACCTCTAGGAAGTTGTAATGCTACATATCCTTAATCCCAGCAATCAAGAGGCAGAGATGGTAGGATTGCTTAACATCTAGAACCAGCCTGGTTTGATGTGGCAAGGCTCTGGCTGGACAGGGCTATATAGCAAAACCCTGTTACACACACACACACACACACATCACACACAAATCCACGGGCCCAGCCAGTGGGAATTAGTGGAGCTACAGAGTAGATAAATTAAAATGTAGAAAGCTCACACCAACATAACTTAGCAATAGGTTGCTGTGCCAGAACACAGAATCAGTGGTGCTAAATCAGTTTTTCAGCAGAAGCTAGAAATATGATAAATCTCACACACACACACACACAAAGAACATGGAAAGGAGAGGCTCTACCAAACTGGTTGTGCTGGTTAATTTTATATCAGCTTGATGTAAGCTAGAGTTGTTTGAGAAGAGGTAACCTCAACTGAGAATTTCCTGTGGACAAGCCCGTGGGGCATTTTCTTAATTGATGGTTGATGTGGGAGGTCTCAGCTCACTGTGTGCAGTGCACCCTGAGCTGGTAGTCCTAGGTGCTGTAAGAAAGCAGTCTAAGGCAGAGAAAGCCACACGGAGCAAAGCAGTAGACAGCATTCCTCCACAGCCTCCTCTTCAGTTCCTGTCCTGACTTCCCTCAGTGACAAAGTGGGACCTGAAAGTTGTAAGATGAAATCAACCCTTTTTCTTCCTAAGGTCGTGGTGCTTTATCACAAAAATAGAAACACCAGTTAAAACAGTGATAACATTTAACATTAAGGGCAAAATTTGGTTCTAGAACCAACAGTTTGAGACCTCTTCAAATTTATTACCCATCACTGCAGATATTTATTGAAGGCCCACTATGAGCCAGGCACCACTATGGTGAACCACAGACCTTTGCTCTATGGAACTTTTCAAAGTGAGAGAAGAAAGTAGATAAGTATACAGAAAATAAGTACATCAGAAGAGAACTGGTATGGGGGAAACAAGTTAAAAGAGGACCAAGCTAAGCTGGGTGTGGTGGTACACACCTTTAGTCTCAGTACTTGGGAAGCAGAGGCAGGCAGAGCTTTTGAGTTTGAGGACAGCCTGGCCTACTTAATGAATTCCAGGCCAACCAGAGCTACCCTGTAAGACCCAATCTCAAAATAAAAAAAAATATTAGGAGTATGGAATATGCAGCAGGGTTTCAGCACAGGTGATTCAAGTAAGCCTCACCGAAAAGATGATCCATCAAAGATGTATAGAGTTAAGATTGTTAACCAGTCAAGCATGATGGGCACATCTTTAATCTCAGCCCTTAAGAGGCAGAGGCAGACAGATCTCTGAGTTCGAGGCCAGCCTGGTCTTCAGAGTGAGTCCCAGGACAGCCAGAGCTACAGAGAAACCTTGTCTCAAAAAAAAAAAAAAAAAAAAAAAAGGCTGGTACCTAAGTAATTAAAATATTTTTAGAGGCATGTTAGAAGGCTCATCTGGTAGTGCTACTTACTGCCAAGTCTGATGGCCTGAGTTCAATCCTGAATCCCATGCAAAGATAGAAGAGAACAGACTCCCACTGACCTCCACATGTGCCTGCCCTGTCTCAGGCATCCACAGATGAAAACATGCATGTACACACATAACACACACACACACACACACACACACACACACACACACACACAATAACTGGAAAAAAAAGGCAGGGCAGTGGTGATGGCACATGCCTTTAATCCTAGCACTTGGGAGGCAGAGGCAAATCTCTGAGTTCAAAATCAGCCTGGTCTACAAAGCAAATTCCAGGACAGCCACAGCTACATGGAAAAACCCTGCCTCAAAATAATAATAATAATAATAATAATAATAACAAAAGACTGTTAAGAAATCAAGAAATCTAATGTCTAGGGATAAGGATCATCCCTTTCAGAAGCAACAGCCAAGGCAGAAGCTAAGCATGCCTGCTGTTTTCAACGCAGGGTGTCTGCTGTTTTCAACGCAGGGTGCCTGCTGTTTTCAACGCAGGGTGCCTGCTGTTTTCAACGCAGGGTGTCTGCTGTTTTCAACGCGGGCAGCTAGTATAGGTGGATGGAGCAGTATATGCTGCAGGGAATGAGAGTTAACGGGACCACATGGGACAGGGCTACCCACACCATTCTGTGAGCTTTTTCTTTAGAATAAAGGGGAAGTGGCTGAGCAGTGTTTTACATGAAAGAATGACTAGATATGATATGCTTTAAAAATGATCCTTACCAGTGGTACACACCTATAATCCCAGCAGTTTGGAGGCTGGGGCAGGACAAGAATTTGAGGTTGAGGTTAATTTAGGTTATCTATATGTCTCAAATGGAAAAAAGATTCTTTTTAAGACAAGGTCTTATGCAGCCCAGAAGAGTCTAGAGCTAACTACATAGGAGAAGATGACTTTGAACTTCTGATCCTCCTGCCTCTACCTCCAAAGTGCTGAGATTATAAGCATGTGCCACCACATCTGGCTTTAGGAAAGAAAATCCTGTAAAACTGTGCAGTAGACATCTCTTGTTCAGTAATTTCTACAGGAAAAGATAATGTATTCTCCACAGTGGGGAATTAGAGATAATGGTGAGGCAGGCAAGCATGTGGATAGCTACACATCTTTCCTGACAAAGCACTTAGCAACCTGGGACCCCCTCCACACCTGCATCAAGCTATACACACACCCCTCTTCAAACAAAGCAGTAACTCCAACAAATAGCTCCCTAGCAACCCTTAGTAATTCTTTTGTGGTCAAAAGCATGTCCTGAAACCAGGGTCAATGGCTAGTCCAACCTGGGCTGGTGTTGGGTACACGTGCAGGCATGAAAACTGTGTCTCTTGTTATAGAAAATACGGTATTTGCCATCTTATGCCTATGCATGATTGCTCATGTATATGGTTCAAACTAGATACCCCATAGAAAAGAACATGCACAATGAACAAAGGCTTACATAACCATTACCTGTCAATTAAAACAAGAAAGCTTCAGACTGGGGAGGTAGCTCAATGTGTAAGAACACTTGCTGCACAAGCATAAGGACCTGAGTTTGAATCCCCAACACCCAAGTAAGAAGCTGAAGGTGGTCACGTGCCTCTAACTGCAGTGCTGTTTGTTGGGAGTGGAAATAGTTAGGTAGTGGGGCTTCCAACTGCCAACCTAGTTCCAGGTTCACTGAAAGACCCTGTTTCAAGGGACTACAGCAAAGCAGGACAGCTGAAGTCCTTTGGCCTCTTCACACAGGCATATGTGCACAAACAAGCCCCCCCTTTCTCTCTCTCTTTCTCTTTCCTCCTCTCCTCTCTCTCCTTCCCACTCTCCCCCTCCCTTTTCATCTCTCCCTCTCTCCTCTCTCTCTCTCTCTCTCTCTCTCTCTCTCTCTCTCTCTCTCTCTCTCTCTCTCTCTCTCTCTGTCACACACACACACACACACACACACACACACACACACACACACACACACAAAGTTCCTTTCCCCTTAATAACCAACTGCTCTTCCTCTTGAACATAAAAAAAAAAAGCCCTGAACAGTCGCCAGGCACTCTTGAGCTGCCTGCTTGCTCAGGACCCCAATTTCTTGTAGCATATCTAACTTGTGCTTTTACTTTGCCTCTGAATAAGATCTCATGCTACTTTGTTCTTTGTGTGTGTGTGTGTGTGTGTGTGTATTTTTCTTTGAACAAAATGCCACAAATCTGGAAACAATGGGGCTCTAGAGCAACCCCTAATAACATACTTGGTGACCCCAACCAGAAGCTAAGAGAATAAATCCTCTTCTGTCTGATGGATGCAAATTCCCTTGAACATTCTCCAATCCCCTTCTAATCTGATGCCTATGGCTATGCATGGTAGCTGTCAGAAAGCCATCACTCTTCAGCCATGCCACTTGTCCGGCTGATGAGGAATAGGTGGGGTAGCTGTGGCTAAATGACCTCTGGAAGCTGCTTCACCAGGACAGCAAAAAGGAGAAAGAAGTGGGTATGACAGTTCCTTCCTAGCCAGGGCTTTAAACAGACTCACAGTCAACCCAGTAAATCCAGTATGATTTTGAGGCAGAATAGAGATGCAAAGAGGTAGAGTCCCCTGCTTCATTCCAATATTGTTTTTGTTCCCTGGAGTGAACCCAAAATTTATTACCACTTGGATTTGATTTTTTTTTTTTTTAAAGACGTGGTCTCACTATATAGCTCTGACTGTCCTGGGACTCTGAGATCCTCCTGCCTCTGTCTTCTGAATGCTGGAATTAAAGGCATGCACCACCACACCTGGCCCACCACTTGGATTGTTTTAAATTATTTGTATGCCTGTGTGTGTGTGTGTGTGTGTGTGTGTGTGTGTGTAAGTCAAAGGACAGCTTTTCCAGGAGTCTGTTCTTTCACTTTGTTTTTGAAATAGAATCTCTCGTTATTTCTGCTGCTACACTATGAACTTGAGCTTCGGGTCAATTCTGTCTCTACCTCCCATCTCACCACAGGAATTCTGAGGCTGGAATTACAAACTCAGCAAACTCAAGTCATCTGGCTTTTGGGGGCTTTGTGTGTTGTGAGACTCTAACCCAGGTTATCAGGGTTGCACAACAAGCGCTTTCCCTACTGAACTGTCTTTCCAGCTCTGACACTTAGATTTTAAACCTTTTCTTTCTTCTTTCCTTTTGCTTTTTTCCCTCCCTCCTTTTAAAGCCTTTTCCTTTTCTTCTCACCCTTTCTTTGATCTCATTTCTTTCTGGGTTTCAGAGGATAGCATTCTTACAGGAACTGACCAAGGTAGTAGGGAGCTTTGCTAATTGCTCTCATGGGGGGTGGGGAGAGTGAAGAGATGGTTCTGCTGTTCCTGGGACTCAGTAACTGAAAACATAACTTCCTTTAGCTTTTCATAGATAAAGTGTGTGCTTGTCTCTGCACACAAAGGAAATGAAACAAATCCACATGTCAGTGAGGCATTGTTTGAACAGTTCTAGCCATAGACAGCCTCTCCTCCAGCTCTCATTCAGGCAGTAAGGCAGCATATGTGCCAGCACCTTTCCCAGGGAAGCTCTTTGAGTAACAGTAGCAAGTGTTTGGACTCTGGAAATAAATAAAAGGTAGAACACATAAGGTTTCCTGATAGCCTGTGAGACTAAAAAGAGAGAAAGAGAGAAGGATGTTCTCAGTACTCAGAGGACCAGAAGTGGATCTGAAGTGAAAGCCTCCTCCTTGAGGACTAACTTTAATGGTACCAGAAGGTGTCATGCAAGCTTCCAAAGGAGGGAAACAACTGATAATTCTTACTATGATGCCTATGAACCATAACAGTGACCAGCATGTCATGCATACCTTGGTGGTAACCAACAACTCTAATTGTACTCTCAACAAGAGGGAAATCATGCCTGGTACTAAAATCCAGCCTACCCAGGGCTAGTGAAGTCTTGGAGAAGAACCTATATCCTCCACCTTACTAAACCAGCATAATCTCTAACTACATTCTAAGCATTTTATCCTTATAGCCACAGATAAGTGTAATTCTTAGTGCTTATCAAGGAACATCTTTGCAACAGGTGGACATCATTCAAAAAAAAAAAACCACAACCATCAAAATGCAGAGTTGTGGAGCATGGTCCCAACTGATACATCTATAACATAGCTTCACCTAAAGTTTAAGGATTGTTTTAGAACAGAAGTTCTCAACCTGGGGTTGGGGATCACAACTCCTTTGGGGGTCAAATGACCCTTTCACAGGGGTCACATATCAGTTATCCTGCATACCATATATTTACATTATGATTCATAACAGTAGCAAAATTACAGTAGAAACAAAATAATTTTATGGTTGGGGGGTCACTACAACATGAGGAACTATATTAAAGGGTCACAGCATTGGGAAAGTTGAGAACCACTGTTGTAGAAGAAGATTGTAAGAGCCAAAGGGACAAGAAGTTTTCTATGAGATAGTGTCTCCTACAAATGTTAGGGAAGCTACATCCATGAAGTCTCACCAACATGGCTGCCTAAACAAGACCTGAACAAGGAGAACACTAATATACATGCTAATGAAAAGGGGAAGGCTCCCAAGGCCTCAACTCTAGACAACCACAGGCACCCAAGGAACGCTGAGAGCAGGGGAAAGTCTCCCCAGGGAAGAGCACAGCGATTGGTTTTCCAGTACCAAATGGTCAGTTCTGAAAACACACACATACAAGTAACACTATACAGACTGAGCAGGCTGTACTTACATACTTAAGAATATAAACACATGTCGGGCGGCCATGGAGCACGACTTTAATCCCAGCACTCAGGAGGCAGAGCCAGGCTGATCTTTGTGAGTTCAAGGCCAGCCTGGTCTACAGAGCGAGATCCAGTACAGGCACCAAAACTACACGGAGAAACCTGGTCTCAAAAAACAAAACAACAAATATATATATATATATATATATATATATATATATATATATATATATATACACACACACACACACACACACACACACACACACACACAGAGAGAGAGAGAGATAAATAACAAATAAGGGGAAAGAAGCCTTGACTTAGAGAGAGCAAGGAAAGATACATGGGAGGGCTCAGAGGGAGGACAAGGAAGGGAGAAATATCACCTCAAATAAAAAGTGTAAAAGTTTTAAAATAATAAAAGTGTGTTCAAGAACTGAAGAAAAACAAAACCAACAACAAAATGGAGTTATCGACTGAAATGGGAAAATCTGCAGGTAGGGCAGCTTGGGAAGAATGGAGTATAAATTGGTTAACTTTAAAATGTGTGTTATATGTCTATATAAGAAAATAGTAAGATGTTGGGTATTCCAATGTGAAATTTGTGGGAAGTCTAGAATAGAAATTCAAACACCGCTGGCATATAAATAACAGCCATAAGATGAACCAAGAACATCAAGAGAGTGGATACTAAGAAGAGTGCAGTCCATATACTGAGTGCAGGGTACAGAAGATGAAAAGAAGACTGTTTAAGACTATTGCCCTGGAAACCAAGGAGATGCATGGAGGAGGTCAGTCTACTTAAGAGCACATGCAATAGTGTATCTTCCAACGCTCTTCTCTATAGACACTCTTTCAGCCCATTTTTATAATCCAGTACAAAGACTCCACAGGAACTGTGTGGGCCTTACAGTAGGGTTTTTTTTTTCTCTATAGCTTATGTCTCCTGCAACCCTTTAAATATTAGCTTAAATACTATAATGTAACAATATCATGGAAAGTCACTGTTGACTTTTAGAGTATCCCACCCTTTGACTACTTTTAGATAGACTCAAAGGAAAATTGATAGTGGCATCCATATTCTTTTAGTGTTCAGAAATTATAGCATGTCAAAATTAGAAATTATCTCAGCAATTAGGACTAAATCCACTTTTTATTATCACTAGTTATTATTAATTACTGATCTCTTCTGGTGTAAATCGGGTTAGCCTGGAAACTGCCCTGTTGGAAGATTACAGGCATGAGCCACCACGCCCCCTCTGCCTCTTTTTAAAAGTAAAGCTAAAGAAAAGATACCTTTTCCGTTGTCAGTCCGCTTAATGCTCATTAAATTATCTGTGGAGAGGGGTGACGAAGATAAATAGCAGGTCTCTCCATTGTCCTATCTCCGGAGTGCAAGGTGCGGTGGCGGCTGCTGTCCCACTCCCGGTCCCTGGGTCTCGGCCGAGCCTGCAGCCGCGCCACTCAGGCGCGCCGCGGGCAGCCCAGAGGGCTCGGCTGCGCCTGCGCGGGGCCCTTCCTCCGTCTCTCCGCGCCGGGGTCATGGCCGCCCCTGTGGCTGCGCGGAGCCGGGCTCTGCTGTGGGCTGGTGCTGCATGGCTGCGGCAAGGAGGCGTCGGGGAGCTACTGCGGGCGCGAATTGAAGGGGGCACCCCGGGGCGTGACTTCAGTCTCTCTCATTACCGGGTGAGGGCCGGCTGGAGCTTGGGGTCCCGGACCGTGACGGACAGGAGGGCTGTTCGTGATTGAGACCCGCGAGGGCCGCTCCGTGGGGTGGCGGGCTTTCCCTGGGATGCAGGTGACGGTGGCGGGGTGGCGGGTGTTCTGTGGACACGCGCTCACCCCTGCCCCCCTGGCCGCCAGAGCACGGTCATCGTGGAACGCTGGTGGAAGGTGCCGCTAGCCGGAGAGGGCCGGAAGCCGCGCCTGCACCGGCGACACCGCGTGTATAAGCTGGTGGAGGACACGAAACACCGACCCCAAGACCTCCTGGAGCTCATCCTCACGCAGTCCGTGGACGGTAAGACCTGGACCCGAATGCTGACCCCCTGGGCTGCTGCTGTATGACGTTAACGTCTTCCTGCCTCTCCCCATTTGTTTGCCTTGTTTTTACGACTTTGTGGCTCCGATGAAAAAAGTCGTCACGAAAAGTACTGTGTGTGATTTAGATACTGGCCTCCAGCACGGAAAATTAAAACGTGTGTGCAGGACTGTTGACTGTGAAGAGAAAACCCAACAGTTTGCATCACACCTAATGAAATCCTTTGATTGAACAACTCAGTCTACACCAGTTTTTAGACTTGTGACAAGTGTAGTTCCTAATATATGGTGTGTGTGTGTGTGTGTGTGTGTGTGTGTGTGTGTGTGTGTGTGTGTGTGTGTAGGTCAAAGGTCCACCTTATCATTTGATACAGGGCGTAGAGCCGAGCCCCAGGAATCTGCCTATTTCCTCCCCATAGTGCTAAAGTTATGGACCACATCCAGACTCTGCGCAGCAGCACTTTAACGATTGAGCCTTATAACCTACCCCCACAAATCGACATTTTTTTTTTTTAAGGAAGAATAAAAACTGTGAGAAAATAAGGACTGCCTCTTTTTTATGCCCCCCTCCCCCTTGGTGGTGATGCTGGAGATGGTCCCCAGGTTCTAAGTATGCCAAGGCAAGGCCTTTACCAGTGGACCCCAGGATGATCATCTTTTCTGAAGGGACTCCTACAGTTTTTATCTGTTCCTGTTCTCATTGGCAGAAATTGGAGTCCGGGGTGATCTGGTCTCCGTGAAAAAGTCTGTGGGTCGCAATAAACTCCTTCCTCAGGGGCTGGCTGTGTATGCATCTCCTGAAAATAAGAAGCTGTTTGAAGAGGAGAAATTGGTGAGCTCAAAGAATTTGGAGGAATAAAACTTAAAGATTCCTGCTGGGAATTTCGTTTGTTACTTAATTTGAGGATGAAGTAGGAACTAGAACAAGAACCCAGAAGCCCAGAATAGTGGGACTGTTACTGCTTAGTGTGGGCTCATTTCTTCTACTTGGTTTTATCTTTTCTAGCTGAGACAACAAGGAAAACTAGAGAAGATCCAGACGAAGGCAGGAGAGGCGGTGAGTAGGAAGTTTTTACTGATCCCTTGCGGAGGTCGCCAACCTCCTCCTCCTGAGAGTCTCCCTGATGTCCTTCAAGTCTGCTTACTGTTAACACAAGGATGACAAGTAGTATCGTGGCTGATGCTCCAAGTAGCTGGTATGTAGCTGGTATGGAGTCCTCTGGAAATGCTAGGTTTTCCTGTGTGGCTCTGGCTGTCCTGGAACTCACTCTGTAGGCCATGCTGGCCTTGAACTCAGATCTGCCTGCCTCCACCTCCTGAGTCCTAGGATTAAAGGCACACATTTTTTTTCTTTCTTTAGAAAAATGTGCCAAATTTTTAATTTGTTAATTTCTTGCATTTGAAGTACAAATTTTGAAGTACAACATTTGAAGACATCCTTGGCCTGGGATTCTTTGCCAAACGTGCTCTAGATTTTGAGGGACTCCCCAGTCTGGGAATCAGGACCTGTGGGAAAATGTAAGCTGAGGACTCTGCCTTTTGGGAGTATTTACAGACAAGTTGAAGATATTGTAGACACATGAGAAGGTAAACAATAAACTAAAGGCATTAAAGCAGCAGTTACATGGACCCTAGTGGGTTTGGAGTTACTGGGGGGAGGAGGAACCTTTTTTTTCATATAGTATTAAATTAGGCCTTTTCAAATTAGTAGATTTTGAACAAATTGGGAAGTATAAGTGAATTTTTTTTTTTTTTTTAGGTTTTTCTAGACAGGGTTTCTCTGTGTAGTTTTGGTGCCTGTCCTGGATCTCACTCTGTAGCCCAGGCTGGCCTCAAACTCATAGAGATCTGCCTGGCTCTGCCTCCTGAGTGCTGGGATTAAAGGTGTGCGCCACCACTGCCCAATGTATAAGTGAATTTTTAAGGTATGTTTGTTGGGGTGGGAGGGGTCCCATATGGCCCAAACTGGCCTTGAATTCTATATATAGCCAGAGGGGTGACCAGCCAGACACAGAAGCAACAACATGGGAAGTTCATAGATGAGATAAACAGGCCTTAGGGCAGCACATAGATTAATAGAAATGTTAAAAAAAAGTTGTGAGAACTGGCTGGAGACAGCCTAAGCTATTGGCCAGGCATTTATAATTAATAAGTCTCTGAGTGGTCATTTAGGAGCAACTGCCAGGACACATAAAGTCTGCCTACACAGATGTGTACCAGAAAGGTCAGTTACAGATGCTGGGATCAAACCCAGGTCTCATGTATGTTAGGCACACATCTGTCCACAACTCTAAGGCATATTTTAAAATGAAGATAGTGCAATCTACGTAAAGTAAAGGTTTATATAGTGTAGTACTAGAAAATAATACAGTTGGAAAGAAGGTTGGGACAAGATGTAAAAAATAGCTTGAATCTTCAAGTAATTTATAATTTATTTTATAAGCAGGAAAACCAATGATGGAGTGTAAATAGAATTGAAATTCCTTAAATGTCAGATTAAAAGGCTATTGAAAGTGTCTCCGCTGGGCAGTGGTGGTGCACGCCTTTAATCCCAGCACTTGGGAGGCAGAGGCAGGCGGATCTCTGTGAGTTCGAGGCCAGCCTGGTCTACAGAGTGAGTTCCAGGACAGGCTCCAAAGCTACAGAGAAACCCTGTCTTGAAAAGCAAAAAAAAAAAAGTGTCTTCATCCTGAGATATACCAGGAACCTTCATAGATGACCCTCAGTTTATTATAATTATATATATGAGGGGCAGGGCACGTGTGCAGTCCAGGGCACAGCTTGCATGAGTCAGTTCTCTCCTTCCTCTGTGTGGGTCCTGGGGTCAGGCTCGGGTCATCATGCTTGGCAGCAGGCACCTTTACCTACTGAGCCATTTTACCAGCCCAATCCTGAGTTTAATGCAGACTATTTCTCTTTGCCCAGAAACAGCAAGGTATAGATGAAGTTCCTTATGAAGTCTTGGAAAATATCTTTTTTCCATATCAGAGTTGAAAAAAAAGAATGTTCTATTTTTCCCAGTAATGTTTTGTTTTCACTTGTCTTAGCTCAGGGCAGAAATTGTTCCCTTTTCCTGAACTCCCAGGCCCTTAGCATAGTTCCTCCCTGTGACTCCAACTCCTGTTGACACAACCCTTATTTATAATTCTTTTTAGACAGTGAAATTTCTGAGAAGCTGTCATCTAGAGGTGGGAATGAAGAACAACGTCAAATGGGAACTAAACCCTGAAATTGTTGCCCGCCATTTCTTCAAGAATGTGAGTGTTCCCAAACATCAGTATTCCCCTTATCGTTCCCCTTATCTAGGAGACCCAGGATTGAACCCTTTACTATGAAATGGTTTTCCCAGCTGGCGTTGGCAATTACTTTTGGTGGGTTTGCAGGGAGAAAGGAGGAGTATAGCCAGGACCTGAAGTAGTTGCAGATGTAAAGACTAAGAGGAAAAAGCAATTTCATTTGTCTTATCTGTAGCTAGGAAGAACCTGAAGATATGTGACTTATTGGAGAATTGTTACTTTTGAGGATAAAGTAGTGTTAGTCTTAAGACCTGTTCTGTTTGTAAACTTATCACCTTTGCTGAGAAAGACAGAGTCTCTGTGCTGTCATCTGTGGACATCTGTGTCCTCCCCTGAGGTCAGCCAGAACCAGTTCCCCAGATGTATTCATTCCTGCATAGGAAATTCTAGACCTGAGCTGTCTTTATGAGGTTATGTGGAGGCTGAAATTGAAGGGTTTATCTCAGTGGTAACAGTAGCAACAAGAATAATTTTATGGTTGAGGTCACCACAACATGAGGGACTGTATTAAAGGATCACAGCATTGGGAAGGTTGAGAACCGCTGGTTAATCTGGCTGTTGGGTCTATTTTTCAGCTTGGTGTTGTGGTTGCCCCACATGCTCTGAAGTTACCAGAGGACCCTATCACGAGATGGGGCGAGTACTGGTGTGATGTGACTGTGAGTGTTTCAGGGATTTTCTTCTTTGATTAGGAGAAGAATCACTATGAAAAGCTGGATTGGGTGGTGTTGGTTCTGCCTGACTGATCTCTGGCTATTCCTGTTTTTAATGTGTGTTCAGGTAAATGGACTCGACACTGTAAGGGTTCCTATGTCCGTGGTGCTCTTTCAGAAGCCCAAGACCAAAAGATACAAGCACTGGTTAGCCCAGCAGGCTGCCAGGACCACGGCCCCCACCAGCTCCCAGGCGGTCTGAATGTCCTCTGCTTCCAAGACAAAGCAGTCAGAAGAGCCTTGCAATAAAGCGGGCCAGCACTTGAAGCAAGTATGGATCCTAAAGAACATGTGAACTCAGCAGACTGAATAGCACATACATGTAAGGCTCACTGTGTTTGTCATACAGTGTCATCACAGCCAGCTGTATTAGATCGTTCTGCAGGCAGTAGATTTTATAAGCGGAATATCAGTGAACTGGAACAGTCTTCTTAGCCCTTCCATTGGAGAGTGCATGGGAACAAGTGAAGGGCCAAGCCGTTGTTCTGACAATCGCTGTATTCTCATCCAGACTGTGTCTCGTGCAGAAATAAAGAGCTATTTAACTGGACTTCCATTGACTGTGAACAGGATATCCAAGTAAGGTGTCTTGAGCCATGGAGGAAAGTGTAGCAGTTCGCTGTGTCCTACGGTTGCCATGAGCAGACTACTCTACTATAGTCAATTATGTCTGCTCTTAGAACTTTCTCTGTCTCCATGTGACTTATGCAATGGATTCCACTAAGATCTGAATAAGGCCTAAGGATGATTGATAGAGAAAGTGAAGCCGGATTAGTGAAGCTTGAAAGGAGAAAGAACTTCTGAATTATTTCTTAACCAGCCCTGACATTCCATAAAGAAACCTGACTTCCAGACCAAGGATAAGCCTGAGGTCATTCAAGAGTTGGTGTCTTAGGCTGGGCATGGCTGTGCACACCTTTAGTCTCAGCATTCAGGGAGACAGCCTTTGTTGGGCTAGCTGGAACACAGCCTGTAAGCCTCTCTAATAAATCCCCTTTATGTATATATTCTTTTTATCAGTTCTGTTCCTCTAGAGAACCCTGACTAATACAATGCTCTCCTGGAGACCTGAGTTTGGTTGCCAACACCCTTGTTATGCAGCTCACAACCACATATAACTCCACCTCCAGAGCCGGGCGGTGGTGGCGCACGCCTTTAATCCCAGCACTCGGGAGGCAGAGGCCGGCGGATCTCTGTGAGTTCGAGGCCAGCCTGGGCTACCAAGTGAGTCCCAGGAAAGGCGCAAAGCTACACAGAGAAACCCTGTCTCGAAAAACCAAAAAAAAAAAAAAAAAAAAAAAAAAAAGAAACTCCACCTCCAGGGAGTTACATCCAATGCCGCCTTCTCTCAGTGGACACCCACGCTTTGTGTCATACACACATAAAATTATTAAAAAATCTTTCATTCTTGGGGCTGGAGAGGTGGCTCGGTGGTTAAGAGCACTAGCTGCCCTTCCAGAGGACCTGGGTTCAATTCCCAGCACCCACATGGCGGCTCACCACTGTCTTACTCCAACTCTGGGAGTTCCTACCCCTTCACACGGATACACATGCAGGCAAAACAGCAATGCACATGAAATAAAGATAATAAGACTCATTCATAGATACTAAGGGTTACTCTGAACCCATCTGGCAAAGCTTGGAAGCATCTTCATCAAATTGATATGAAGTGTGTCAAAAAATCAAGTCCAATACTCATTTTAAAAATGTGGCAAGATCTACCACTGAACAAAAATTTCCTGTTGTCTGACATCCAATTAAATACCTCCTTAAGGACTGGAGAGATAGCTCAGAGGTTAAGGGCACTGGCTATTCTTCCAGAGGTCCTGAGTTCAATTCCCAGCAACCACATGGTGGCTCACAACCATCCATAATGAGATCTGGTGCCCTCTTCTAGCATACAGGCATACATGCAGACAGAACACTGTATACATAATAAATAAATAAATCTTTAAAAAAAAAAATACCTCCTTAAAGAGAGAAGAAAATGTTAGCCCAGAACTGACAAGTGTGCATTTGGTACATTGTTAATATCCAAATAGGTAACTACTGTAACAGCTCTGGCAAGAACACAACCCAACTTTAAAAGGTCAAAGGGTGGAATGTAGGCTTAAACTTTTGAGAGACACAGGCAGTAGGAGAATTATGAATCCAAGGCCATCCTGGGCTACTCCAGGGCAGCCTGAGCTATTTGGAGATGCCCACACACACTGACTCATTCACAAAACCATCATCAGGACTGGAGAGATGACTCAGTGGTTAAGAGCACTGGCTGCTCTTCCAGAGGACCTGGCTTCAATTCCCAGCACCTACATGGCAGCTCACAACCATCTGTAACTCCAGTTCCATGGAATCCTATGCCACCTTCTGGTCTCTGCTGCCACCAGGAGTTCCCATGGTGCATAAGCATACATGCAGACAAAATACCCATACACTTTTTTTTCCTGAGATGGTTTTTCTGTTTAGTCCTGGCTGACCTGGAACTCAGAAGTTTCTGGGATTAATTTCTCTATCTCTTTGTGAATGATGTAATGGATTCCACTAAGATCTGAATAAGGCCTAAGGATGATTGACAAAGTGAAGCTGGATTAAAGAAGCTTAAAAGGAGAAAGAATTTCTGTATAATTTCTTAACCAGCTCCTGACATTCCATAAAGAAACCTGACTTCCAGACCAAGGATAAGCCTGAGATCATTAAAGAATAGAGATCACCTGCCTCTACCTCTAAAGTGCTGAGATTAATGCCATGTGCTACCTCCACTCAGCCCCATACACTTTTTGGGTTTTTGTTTGGTTTGGTTTGGTTTGGTTTTTTCAGACAGGGTTTCTCAGTGTAGCCCTGGCTGTCCTGGAACTGACTCTGTAGACCAGGCTGGCCTCAAACTCACAGAAATCTGTTTTGATATTTTATTTGTGCTGAAATGTGGAAATATTTTATTTGGCCTTTAATAAATAAAGCTTGCCTGGAGATCAGAGGAAAAAACCAGCCACAACACAGAAGTCATGCAATGTTAGCACATGCTTTTAATCTTATATGGCAGGCAGGATCTGTGTGTTCAAGGTCACACTGGAAACAGTCAGGTGTGGTGGCACACACCTTAAATTCCAAAACTATTTAACCATGGAGGTCTGTACAGACAGGAAATGACAGAGCTGTGTAGGAAGAGGAAGTGATGTAGCTGGACAGAGCAAATCAGATGGCAGAACAGCAAGGCATATGTGTGTGGGTAGACAGGAAGTAACTCGCATTTGGAAGCTGCAGAGTTGGTGAGTTAAGGTTGGCTGGTGGCTTTCCCTATTTTTCTGATCTCACTAAGGCTTTCACCCCTATATTTGGCTCCGTGTTTTTTATTTAATTCTTTTTTTTTTTTTTTTTTTGGTTTTTCGAGACAGGGTCTCTCTGTGTAACTTTGTGCCTTTCCTGGAACTCACTTGGTAGCCCAGGCTGGCCTCGAACTCACAAAGATCCACCTGGCTCTGCCTCCCGAGTGCTGGGATTAAAGGCGTGCGCCACCACCGCCCGGCTTATTTAATTCTTATTAATTTAGAAATTCGTCCACAGAGATCTGCCTATCTCTGCCTCCCCAGCTGGGATTAAAGGCATGTACCACCAGGCCCCATACACATTTTTTTTTAAAGAGGGTCTCTGAAGACTTTTTTTTTAATTATTTATTTGTATTTTATGTACATTGGTGTTTTGCCTGCATATATGTCTGTGTGAGAGTGTTGAATCCCCTGGAACAGGAGTTATAGACAGTTGTGAACTGCCATGTGGGTGCTGGGAATTGAATCCGGGTCCTCTGGAAGAGCAGCCAGTGCTCCTAACCACTGGGCCATCTCTCCAGCCCCAAAGTTTCTTTCTATCTTTTTTTTTTTTTTCTTCTTCGAGACAGGGTTTCACTGTGTAGCTTTGGTGTCTGTCCTGGATCTCACTCTGTAGCCCAGGTTGGCCTCGAACTCACAGAGATACACCTGGTTCTGCCTCCAGAGTGCTGGGATTAAAGGCAAGTGCCACCACAGCCTGACTCCCATACACATTTTTAAAAAGCACTTATTTTCAGTTACTAGTCTCTGTATTAACCATTGCCCACAATAAAAAAGTTTGGCCAAAGCTGAGAGCAGCCCTAGTTTAAGGGCTTAAACATCAGTGTGAAATGACTGTTGAATGCTCAGTCCTGAATGGAATATTTCTGTCACCTCCTCTAAGACTAGGGAAGACTGAGGAATAGGACAGAATGATTGTAAGATTGGGGGTGGGGGAGGAATGCTAGAAATGCTACATTCTGGAAATGACATAGCCATTGTTGTGAATAGCAATAGTTATTATCTGCACAAAACCTACACACAGAAAAAAACAGTCACGTTGGACACGATGGCATACACGTTTAACTTCAGCACTCAAGAGGCAGATGCAGGGGATCTCCCTATGAGTTTGTGGCCAGCCTGATCTACATAGCCAGTTGCACGTCAGCTAGACCATCTCAAAAAAAAAAAAAAAAAAAAAAAAAAAAAGCCATGAGGGGCTGGAGAGATGGCTCAGCAGTTAAAAGTACTGCTCTTTCACAGAATAAAACCCTTTTCTGGCTTTTCAGGCACTATACACACACAGTAGATACATGTAGGCAAAACACCTAGACACATAAAAATAACATTTTTTTAAAAGATGGGGCTGGAGAGACGGCTTAGTGGTTAGAATACTTGTTCCTGCAGGGGACCCAGGTTCAGTTCCCATCACCCACATGGCAGCTCACAACCGCCCATAGCTCCAGTTCCAGGGGATCTGATGCCGCCTTCTATCTCTGGTCACACAAGGCATGCATATGGTGCCCATACATACATGTAAGCAAAATAGTCATATACATAAAATATTTTTTAAACACTTTCATGGTCATTTTCTTTAAAAAAGACATGAAAGTATACATGATTCGTTGGAAAAAAGAAGGGGTCAACAGTAGTGGGAGAGAGATGAGACGGTGAGGGGTTAAAGATCACAATTTGTGGTATCCATGTATAAAATTGCCCAAAAGTTAAAATTTTTTTTTTTTTTTTTTTTTGGTTTTTCGAGACAGGGTTTCTCTGTGTAGCTTTGCGCCTCTCCTGGAACTCACTTGGTAGTCCAGGCTGGCCTCGAACTCACAGAGATCCGCCTGGCTCTGCCTCCCGAGTGCTGGGATTAAAGGCGTGTGCCACCACCGCCCGGCTAAAATTTTTTAAAAAGCATGTTTTCAAGTGATCTCTCCACAGAATTTCTAAGCATGTGAAATAATACATAGTTAAAGCAGAAACAAGAAACCCGAAATGCCAGTGTGAGAGGAGCAGAGACCCAGCAAAATAAACCACTCCTCCTTCTCCCCATTGGTGGAAAAGCTGAAGCTAATAAAACTGGCGGGAAGAGAAACATTTTCCAATTTGTTTCCCACATGCTTGAGTTGAGGCTTCTCTTTCTTCCTGTTGAATTGAGACTTACACCATCAGCTCCCCTGAACCCAAGCCTTCAGACTGCTGAATTATACACTGTCTTTCCAGGGTCTCAGCTGGCAGATGGCAGGTG